TCTGAGGCAGCTTTTCTCAGTTGTTGTTCCCACAAAGAATATATTGTGTTTATGAAATATGTCCAGGATACACTAATACCAGAGGGGGCACCAATACCAGACAGAAGCATGGGTGAAATTTGCTTTTTTGGGAGGTGCTCATGCAAAGTTCCACATGCCTTGTGGTAGTTCTGGGGACCGGGGAGAGAAAGGACACATGGAGTGGGGTGCCAGGGAGGCAAGCTCCAGGATTGTGGTTCAGTGTGGATGCAGTGGCCACAAAACCCCTGCACAGGGGCCAGGGAAGAACATCAATTGCTATTCCAGCCTATAGGCTGAAGCAGCAGAGGCAAAGGGACCCTGGCTTTGCCATACCTGGACCCTTTGTTAGAGGTAGCAGCTTTCATCATACCTTCCCCTATGTAGGAAACCTATATAAAGCCCATTTACTTGCCCAATTTATGGTGATTTTTTGAATATCACCCTAAATGAATAATTGGCATACAGCGATAAAAAGTTTCACTTTTATTCTAGCCACATATTTATTTCAGATTATTCAATCACATATATTAAATAAGTGTATGTGTCCTAATTAACTTTTCAGAGGACAGCAATATCAGCTACAATTTTGGCTAGAGGCTCAAACACTCAATATGCTCAAACGCATATATTGTTTCTTGTTTATGGTGGTATACATGTACAGAATCTAAGATCAGAATCAAACCATAAGTGTGTCTGAAGATTTTTCCATTCAATTTTTAAAAAATCCCCTTTCCATCTCCTCCCCTTTTTTTTTTTTACCTGTTTTCCTATGGAGCATTTATTTTTTATAGAAAATAACTGCCATTTTGACAGATGAGAATCTTTTTCTTTTATATCATATCACAGTTATCTCCCTTCCCCACCCCACCCCCATGCTTCTGAGGCAGGTTACAAACATGTTTGGGCTTGAAAACAAAGTTGGTATGTCCAGGCAGCTATGATTAAAAGCTTAAAAATATATTTTAACCCAACTATGTTTCATTATAATAGCATCAAGTTATCTCCGTACATGATAACATTGACTTACAACTACAGAGATTTTTCCAAACAAAGTACAAATGGTTAGAGAAAGAAGCTGAAGGTGCAAATGACCTGAATATTTTAATAAAGCTTTTTAACTAATATAGTTAAAATCCAGAGTTCACGTATTTTTTCCTCTTACAAATCTGAACTATTACTACTATTTGGGGGTGTGATTCTGCAAAGTGCTGAGTGCCTCCCGCAAAATGCTGAGCTAGATGCTCATCAACTCACCCATCAGTCCCTGTGACTGCCTGGACCTTGTTAAAGCATAAGAAGCTATATGAAAAGCATGCCTAAAAACTTCTTAAGCCACAGAAAGAAATCTTAACTTCATTACTTAGATGACTAAATTATGCACATAAACCACTATATTATTACTACATAACACTGTAAAAAGCCATTTTATGGTTTGTTGATAACTTGACTCCAAGTAATTTAACTAACCCTTGTTTGCAAAGATACTGTATTAACCACAGAGTCAGAGTTTGGAACAGGGTAAAAAAAAAAAAAGATCCAACTGTAAATTTGTGGTTGGCACAGGTTTATTGAAAAGTACAGAATATATGGAATGCAGAATGCAGTGTTATCTTTTTGAAACATGAGTATTAAATTTATGACAAATGTCTGAACCAAACAGTAAACCGCAACAGCATTTCAGTTCTTAAAAGCACATTAGTAAGTAATACTATTAAGAAAGTGGTGACCCACTGTTGAACAGTAGACTGTAACTGATATAACATTAAGTATATTTGCCGTTTTTAAGTATTAATCATATTTCAATTGAAAACAAATGTTAATGTCTTCTAGTTAAAAGAGTGTTAGGCATCACACGACCTTAAATCTTTAATCTTGCCTGTCCGATTATTTGTACTGCAAGGTGAAATAAAAATGTAAAATGGTAAATCTGGAACAAAACCAAAATAAGGTTTGAGGAAACAAGCAACAACCTAATTACAACTGTACCTTGCCAACCTTAATTAAACTCCACACAGGTACTAAAGGTCATTATTAATAAAAAGATTTTACAAACTATTATTTTAGTTAATTATAAACATTTGGATAGTTATCAGTCTCAATTTATCACTTCTGTGATTCTGCAATTTATATGGGGATGTCAAAAACAGCCCTCCACCACACATCCAATAACCTATTTTAGTGTGTGCCCACACGGACCTCATCAAGTAGCCAACGAGTTGCCCTTTCATTGTGAGTAAGTGACTAATATCTATACTGGCTCTAAAGAAAGACACTTTTCATAATCGCACAACAATCTGCTAAATGAAAACATATGGATAGGCTTAGGCAAAGCCTGCCAGGGGTCTTTACTGAATGGAAAACAGGTGTTTTATTTTTGTGCCATGTAATACCCCATTTACCCCCAAGTCCAAAGGTTACAGGACTAATAGCTGCCTTGTGGTAATCAGGGAAAGCAAAGACACTGGCCATGGTTAAACATCTGGGACATATTTTACATACTTGCAACATATGCTTCAGGTTCAATTAAAGTGAGGCTTTGGCACATTTATTAATCTTTTTACTTTTATCCTATAAGAGGACCCATTGACCTGACTTTACTATTATACCATATGAGAAAACAGAAGTAATGACAGCTGGAAGTCAGTACCTGCCAGTACTGCAAAATGTGCATTTGTTTTCTCACCAAATTTCATTATGCACAAAACTTTAAGATTAGGAATCTATGAATTTAAAAAAGGAGTATAACACTGTGCTCCTTCAATTCAGACACACCAATATTAAAAATCTTCATCATCAATAAACAGTACATGATAAAACTTGAAGGAGGAAACTGGCAAAAAAAAGCTTTTTGTTGTCTGATTTATAGTTTAGTGTCTGAAATAAAATGTCCATTCTAAGAATAACTGTGTACACTGTACAGTACAAGCATTTTTTTAAATAAAAATATGTATGTCATTTTCTTTTCCATTCAAGATGTGATTTTCATGATAGCATACTGAATTACAAGAGCTCAAATAAAACTTACATATTAATGAAACAAGACTTTGAATTTATAGAAATCAACCTACATACCTTTCATATAAGAAACGCACTGCTCTTAGGCATCAAATAAAGACTACCACTGAATTCACACAGTAATTTAAGCACTCACCTTCAGTCAATGTTGGTAACTATATCTGTAAGTGTGTTAGAACCCTGGTGTCAGTTTCAGACAGCTAAACACTAGATTACAATTGATACAGCTCCAGAGATTTGGTGTTATTTCTAACCTGGTATGTTCTGTTTGGCATCTACTTTAGACTGTAAAGGGCTTTTTTAAAAAGGGTTATCGTTTGTTTAATAACTCAACCTCCCTCTCCCCCAACTAAATGGTAAATAGACTGACAAACTACAATTATTAAATTACTGTACTTTGCGAACTGATCAGAGTTACTAACATTTCCAGGAATATGTATACTGTACTACTGGGATGAAGCTCTTATAGTTGCTTTAATAATAAAGCAGCAACAAGCAGGGGAAAATGGCCATAAATGGATGGCAGATCAGTGTTTATCAGAAGAGAAATGATGATTCAGAGCTTGCATGTTGAGTTAAAATACAAGCTCTCTACACCTACATGATTGACCTTTGCAATAAATCATGTTTTATTGCCAGAAGTGTATGCTCATATCATTTAGTGCTAAAAACTAGCACATATATGTTTTGTAAAAAAGAGAATGTTATTACAATGCTTGATTATTCCAAAATGATGTAGCTAACGATTTAAACGATGTACAGAAGAATTTCACATATCTTTCTGTCAATTCTAAAATGTTTGAACTAGCAATAGAATGAGGGAAATACTTTTTTTTTTATCCTCTCTCAAATCTTGGGTTAGCTAACAGAAAAATAATCATTCAGGGGATTAACTAATCACAGTGAATTTTCTGACATTTCAAATACTTGCTGCCAGCATACAAATTCTTACAGTGGTATATAACACTACATCTCTACTAGAAACAAAGGTCAAGGGCATAAATTAAGATACACTGTTTTTCTCCTCTCTTAAAAAAAAGAATTCATTGCTCTATTATAACAGAACTAGGGAGAACATTTGTGAAGGTCAAAATTGTCCGTATTTAATTCAAAGCGGTTTTAAAATAATCTGTATTTTTTCTCTTTCATGTCTCATATTTTGGTATGCAAATCCCACAGACAACAAGGCTGTTTTCACTGCACTTGTCTCTCCATCACTCCATTGCTTCAGTGGTGCGAGGTCATTCTAATTTCCTCCCTCTGGTTTTTCCCTCTCCCCAGGGGACAACCAATCCAAGCAGTCCCATAGCTTGGCTCAATAAGATGTGGAAACGAGCTGTTATTTACTGTGGTTGCAATCCTCAACTCAACCAGCAGCCCAGGAATTGAACCACGTATTCTCAAAAGCTGAAAGATCCGCAACAGTCTCCTTGCTTGCTGGGCCACAATGCCAGCTCCAAATCAAGTAGACGTCTATGAGAATTGTGATTATTTAAATATCATACAGAGTGCAGAACATACCAGCCATTCTTCTACCAAGTAATTCACTGAAAATTACAGATGGCAATATCCCATTTTCAACCAGTGTGGAGTTACTATTTTTACACCATTTCCCCCCCTAAAGTACAGCCCTATTTATAATACCCAAGACAGGACAAATGTTTGTCCTTCAGAAACAGTTGTCACTGCAGTTATCTTCACAAGAGCTATCAAGTTCCAGACAAGCTGAATTATTTTTGTTCCTGGCAGAAAAATATTTGACCCAGCTCTGGACAAAAAAAGAAGAGGATTTATAGTCCTCTATCCCTTCCTACAACGTACAGTAGCATTGTTAGGATGATAAACAGCTCTGTCCAATTTTCTGGACTAAAACACTTCAACTCCTTTTTTAACTGTCTGTAAAAACAGTGTCATGTCTAAATTCTCCCATCCCCAGGTACCCAAGTGCTAGGAAAGATAATTACCTTGTCATCTCTGTCATCCTCTTCTTCCTCGTCCTCTAGCATGTCCTCCACTACCTACAGACAGAAACAGTAGTAGTCATAATTTAAAAAGGAAGCGTTTTGTTCTGTCAATAGTAAACCTTTTGTAGATGAAAACTTTATTAACATTTGAAATAAATGCACAGAAGGAAAATGTACAACTAGAAAATCATTTGATCTAGAGATTCAAGTTTAAGAAAGTGTTATAACTTTAATTGACCTACATTAGGGAATAAGACACTGAAAACCTCTACCTGTATAAAATGCTATCTTGACAATTTAAGTATTTAAAAGGTAATTCAAAATTCACTCTAGGATATTTTTAACTAAGGAATCCTTTTTACCAGCTCTAGTGGTGGCTATGAAATACAGTTCAAGTGCTTACTTTGGATTTACAGCTAACCTGAGAAACATACAACCTTTTGAACTTAATTTACATTGCTCATCAGGAGGGTTAAGAAGCGTTCAATCCCAAGAATAAATTCATGCTAACTTGCTTCTTTATGGCAATGGCCCACCGCAGTGACCCAGGGTGCATGCTGTATTATCATCAGCATAGCGTTTCCTAATAGTGATTTTGAACTATTAGTATATCTAATATACTGCACATGCATCTCTCTCTCGTTATGTGTAACTGTACTACATGTGTGCCCATATCTGTCCATTTAAATAGATGGTGGACAGGTAGATTGATATGTGAGAGAAAGAGAGGATTCCTACCGCTTAAGATTTTATGTGTTCAAGGCACTGTACTCACATTAATAATTAATCTTCACTGTATGGTTGTGAGATAAGTAAATATTATACTCATTTTACACACCGAGAGAGAGAGAGAGTGACTTTCCCTAGGCACTTGGAGAGTTAATGGCAGAACCAGACTTAGACCTCAGAAATTCCTGCCTAATAACCCCATGATCAAACATCCGAACTATGGGCCAAATTCTCTGCTGGTGTAAATGGAAGTAGAGTTGTACCTCTTTATACTAAAAGATAATTTATCTCTATATCTGTACATACACAAAAGTCAAGACAGAGCTGTAGATACAAAAGGTGAAAATTCTGGTCTATTTTACATTGAGTTATAAACTAACATCATAGCATACATCAGTACAGAGGAAGAAGTTAAACCATAATTCTATATTATAAAGTATAATGACAAAAGAGGATGTCACATTAGAAACTTAAGGAACATATTCTTTGCTCTGCAGGAGGACACAGATACTCCGATCAGCCCTAAAGAAAACTACATATGGTCGCTCACCAGAGTTTCAGTTGCTACAGTATATTGAAGCAAGATTCCAATTTTGACCTGCAGTGCTGCAGAGGTACAAAGCAGCCTCTAATACAGACTAAAAGCTAGCCCTTAATTTGTATGTTAAGTATATAAAGCATATTAAAACCAGGAAGTGATGTAAACTGTTGTCCAAGACATGAAATTTACAAGAGGATTCTATATTTTCAGTCAATAAATTACCACTAAAATAATAATGTAGAGACAAATAAGTAAGTTCCTTCCCTAAGAATTTAATAATGTAAAGACCAGATGGTGACCATATCCTGCGTGGGTACAGACTGTGAAAAGAAGGCACAAGAAGCCTTCTACCCTTTCAGCTCCCCATGCAGCGGCAGGACAAAACTGCAATCTCACACATCTGCACACACCTCTTGCAGTGAGTAGGCTGGCCATGAAAGGGAACTCACTCTGCACCTTCTCAGGGAGTGTAGCAGTGAGTGAGCTTCCCCTTTATATCAAGGATCTCTGATAGCGAGCATGCCTAAAGGAGGCATAGTGCCTATTGGAGATTCCAACTGCAACCATACATAGCCACCCCACCCCCACTCAATGCCTTAAAGCACAAGAACGCTCTAAATTTGTCACATGTGCCATTTAAAATAATATGTTTAGACTATTTCTTTTTTGAATCTTAGTCCAAAGAGCCAGCAATAATTGACTGGATAAGCTATTTATGGCTTAGTGTGAATAGTGATCCTGAATTAGTGCAGGGGGATGTGCTAGACGACCTACAAAGTTCTTTCTTTTCCAACTGTCTACAATATAAATACTAATGTATCTGCAAGATGTCCTATCCAGAGACCTAAATGTACATTAGTTTGAGTTCTGAGACATGCTATATTAAGTCCTTGACCAGTACCAAAACAAACACTGCTAATCCAAGGGATAAGCGATTGATCCAGTGACTGATATCTTATGAACCACCAGGGTAGAAATGAATGTGGTATGACACTGGACGGCTGAGATCCACAGTCTCCCTGTGGTATGTAGTATTTACTTTTAGATACTGTAGATCACAAAAAAATGGACCATGGACGCATATCATTCTGGCCTGATCTGAGTGACCACTATCTTGTGAAGCTCTGGACCTAGAAACAATGTTTTATGCCACTAGAAGCACCAGGGAATCCAAGTTTTCAGATAATATAAAGTATCAAACTAACGCTAGTAGTTTGTGAGATATTACTAAAACAATATGTAAACTCATACAGTGCTTTCTAGCCATAGATCTCAAATCACTTAACAAAGGAAGGTAAATATCATTATCCTGATAGGGAAATTGAGGCATAAAGAGGTCAAACAACTTACCCTAGGTCATACTACAAGTAGGGTGACCAGACACCAAGTGTGAAAAATCGGGACGGGGGTGGGAGGTAATAGGAGCCTATATAAGAAAAAGACCCAAAAATCAGGACTGTCCCTATAAAATCGGGACATCTGGTCACCCTAACTACAAGTCCTTGGCAGAGCTGGGAACAGAATCCAGGTAGCTAGAGTATCAGGCCAGAAATGAAAGTTTGGGCACAGAGGGATTGCAGAAGCCCTATATTATATGTATGAAAATTTCATTTAAAATGTAAAGTTGCAATACAAGATGACAAAAGTAAGGAAATTAACTTGCATTGCTGGGAAAAGCCACCAAAAGCCTTACCCTGGGGGGAAGGAAAACAAAAACAAAAAAGCCGCTAAGGACAAAGTGTCAGCCTCAACTCTGAATTGTAGCTATTTACTGGTTCTTACTGTAACTTTAAACATTATTTAATCTATGGAGGGATTTTTGTGATTAATTCCCTCAAAAAAAAATCAAATCCATCCTCTGAAACAAATGCTTATTATCTAAGTTAATTGCTTAAATGTGTTTAAAAGCATTTATAGAACCCTTGTTACCCCTTACTACTTGTAAGACCAGAAAGGTTCCTTTGGAGATAAATGTGAACATTTATTGAGAATGGCCATTAAGGATGAGGTTTATCCCACCCTGAACAAAGCCCAAACAGAGTAAGTCTTAGTGCAGGAACTTTACAGGTGTTGGGAATGGAATTCACCCTTTCCAACAAGTGGCCAGTCCTCAGTGCTGTAACACAGTCCCTCCATGGCCTCTATTTCATTTGGTGGGCCATTCCCCCAAAACACGTCAGGTGAAGTGCTATGCTGCACCTCTCAGAAGTTTCAGCACAGAACTTGCAACCCAGTGAGGAATCGGGGTGGGAGGAAAGGGGGGTGGGGTGCACGCAACGTGGCTTTCAGCCACCTTTGTTCCTTCATGCTCCTAGGCTGTACTGGGGTTGGAGAGACCCCCACTGTAACAGACAGATTTTTCAGCGTTATCTAAGTTACAGCAGCCTCCGTAGAGTTGCTCTATGGCCTACAGTTTTGCATACTGTGGCCCTGCTCCTGGAACATCCCCTATACCAGGGCTTAAGAGAGGGTGTGCAAGAGGCAGTCTTTCTTCACTACCTGCACTAGGAGAATCCTCCTTTGGGCAGTTATGGGGATTTTAGGGCCCCTTTACACCACACTGTGGCTCTTTGACACAGCACAAAGGAGGTTGAGCTGGGGGTGAGAATCTCACTTTTCCTTTTTCAGTCTTTGGTCTCATAAATTTAGCTCCTGTGGCTCACAATGAGGGCACTGACCACAGTGGCCCCGAACAGGCAGGTGTGGAGAACAGTCCCTAAGGAATGATGTGTGACCATTTCAGTTGCATCCCTCTATCCTCCTACATCCCCACCATGGGGCTTGGTGTTGAGGGCCTTGCCTGGGTCCTCTACACCTTGATGAATTTCACCCCAAGGGCTAAGTTCTGAAAAATGGAGCTAAGCCACTCCCGTTACACTTACTTTTTTCCTTAGAGACGGCTACATGCAAAGTTCCACCAGCGTAACTAAAAATATGATATATATTCAGTTTAATTAAACCAGGGCCCAAGGTTGCATGGAGACATTTAATTGAACTGTAAACTTCTACATATCAGGGTTTACAATGGAAATGCTGACACCACCTTAGCTGGCTCATTGCAAATAATGACACTCTGTTTAGATCACAAACACTCTTATTCTAAATAATCAGGATAATATTATTTCACACGTGTACTGTGATTTTCATCCAACTAAGCCTCACAATACTGCTATGACCTATAGAGTATTATTATTATTATTATTATAACTGAGAAGTTTGACTTGCCCAAAGTCATACAAAAAGTCTGTGACAGCCAAAAATCGAACCGAGATCTCCAGTTCCCAACTCCTGTTTAGCCAGAAGACGATTCCCTCCTCCCCCCATGTTATTCCATCCTATTTTCTTATTCCGTGTTAGTCACATCATCAATTAAACTAAGCTTTAGGAGTGTCAAATTGTCTGGAAATGAAAAATGATTTAACTCAGTTATTGTATCAAAATAAAACGTAATAAAAGTACTTCCATCTCTGGGCAGCATAAATTATTCTTTATGGCATATGAAGCATTGACCCATGTTTTCACTCATCATGAAACTTTGAAAGAAGAGTTAGAAAAAAAGATGCAGAGTGAAAGCACATCACTACAATGATACAGTGTACCAGAAGGAATTCAGATACTCAAGTTTCTTAAGACTGGTTGCTACCCAAAACTGAAACAATGAAAACAGAATCCTTATAACCATGATATAGAAAGAATCTGCAAGCTGAAGTCTTTTTTTAAAAAATACACTTAAGAACAACCTATTTACACAGAAATGTAAAGCAAGGATTTATAAGATCATTAC